TCCCATATTGAGTACAGGCTAAAGTTGGTCGAGCAGCGGAACAGTTTTTTTTATTGTCCTGAACTTTCAAGCTCGTACAGGACTTTAACGCCAGGGGTAACAGCACCAACAAAATAAGTGGCGATTATGTGGAGTGTAGACCAATCAAATATCTAACACACAGGTGGAGGTGACTGCGTAGGGCTCTGTACGCCGGCACCAAATCGGTGCATTGACTGATTGACTCCCCATCTGCGGACCAGGCTACAGTCAATTCTTGGCTTGTGTTGTCTCCGGCGTGGGCGAGTTTCTAGACAGCTACGAGGTTGAACTCATGGCCCGTTTCGTAGGTGATAGTAACAATTTACGATAATTTGTCGCCCCGCTGCACAGCCAGGTTATGTTAATGTATGCGCGATTAGAGCATGCGTTCAGTTTGACCTGCTTTTCTTCAAGGACAGCTTAGGCATGGGGTAGGATACACTACCCCAGATTGATCTTTGGGATTTAGCCTGTATTCGATTTACATCACCCTGCTGCGCACGGTAGCTTTGGTTCGGTGGGCAATTCCAATACCTAGTCCCTCGGCGATGCGCTTACTGGCTTCTGAGACGTCCCTGATGTATGGCAGAGCGTGCCATATCCTCGGTGGTGCTTCTATTTTGGTCCTCTGAGACCGAACATTTTGCGTAGAATGCTACAACATATCCAGTTGTCACGTCTTTATTTTCATCCAGTGGTTCGGACTTAAACTTTTTCTATTTTTTCAATAGAAGTTACTTGTAGCCCTCTTCACTATAGGTTTGCAACTGACTAGCGTATGCATTTTTAGTGAAGTTTATCTCTTCATATATGCATATTCATCTTAGACTTTAGACAGGCAGTATTATCGACAATGACAAGGGCGACGGGCCTAGTCAGTTCCGATATATTTAAGCGAAATTACAACATCTTCGGCCAAAGTATCCGCGTAATATACACAAGTTGCCAATAGGCGGCCATTAATGTATGATTACTGATTACTTTGATATACAGTAGGTGTTCTATCGCATAAAATATAATCCGACATTCTGAAGTGTCTCTTCATTTCGTTTTTTTGTAATATTGATTATCTTGCAGCCTAATCCCAAGATATTTCAATCACGACGGGATGCAGGCTTTTCACCGAGTTACTATACGGCCGGCTACCATGACTACTTAAGTAGTACGATTTTATTCTCAATGATTTTCTGTGGCAAAAATTACGTCTTCGCCAAAATTTTTCCCTGACGAAAGGGTACTTTTCAATCGTAAAAATGTTTTCATTCACTGAATTATTTCGAACCTGACCTACCGTCCCACCTGCATTCAAGGTTTCCAAACTGCTTCTATTGTAGCATGGGTAGTAATTAAGAGCCGTGACACATGCTTTGCCCGTTTTATGTCGTTGCATGACGTGGCCGCCAGGACTTCAGTACATCAGCGCTTTCTATCTGCTTTCTAGTACATACTCAAGATTTTTAAGTTAGGATTTTCCTTAATTTCCTCAGAGGTTTGTGTGTGCATTTGAAGTAAATTCTTCGGCAAAACCCTTCTCAGATTGGGTTCGCAAATCAATATTCCAAAATGACAACATAACTAGTCGATTTTTGTCACCTTGGTTTTCAGTGGTGGTAAATTGCGTATTCATTAAACTAAAATCCATAATTTTTTGGCCTTTTTATCTCTCTAGCATTCTTCTCTCCTTCTTCAACTCAGAGGTCGCAGCCCGAGTTGAAGCGATGGCTGTCATCCTCCTCGATCTAGCGCTGATTGTTGCCTATCATGGTTGCAGGTAAATAGCCGCCACTTATCTTTCTTACAATATTCTGCCGTTTGTCAGCTGCCTGGTACAGTAGTCGCCGGCTATTAAGCCCACCTCGGGCCCAGACCAAATT